TGTGTGTGTGTGTGTGTGTGTGTGTGTGTGTGTGTGTGTGTGTCAACCTGCACATCAGTGTATGTGTTGGAGTGTGTTTTCTAATCTTCTACATTATTAGTCTAATGACATTCTGACATGTTGTCAAAACAGCTCATAAACTGAGCTGTGGATGAAATATAGAGTGATGCGCTCTAAAAGGATTAAACTGAGGGAGGAACAAAATGTCTGTGTCGTTTCTGTTCATTTGCGTGTGTGTGCATGTTCGAATGTGTATGTTTAGATCTCGTTGTGTGCATGGGAATGTGTAGCAATTGTATGTCCACTGTTTGTGTTGATGCATTATAATGAAGAGAATATGACCAAACCCCAATCAACAGTTAAAGAGAATATTATATGGACATCAGTAGACCCCAGATGATGTCCATCACTAATGCATGAGTCTGTGATTTATTGAACTCCTGTGTGTGTGTGTGTGTGTGTGTGTGTGTGTGTGTGTGTGTGTGTGTGTGTGTGTGTGTGTGTGTGTGCACCAGTTTGTGTTGTTGCATGTGTGTATAAAATAAAATGTTCCTACACAGGTTAATCTATCTTTACATCGTGCATAAAACAATTCCTAGCAGCTCCAACCTTCTTAATATTTTGATTGTCATAACTGATTAAAGACTGTGAAAAATTGCCGCACATGGATATCTGTTATCCAACGCAGACCAGTCAAAACAAAAACGTTTGACACAACTTGTTTTGGGGTCTTAATTTACCCCAGTGGACAATATCAGAGAAAGAAGCTCACTAAAAATGTAAAAACGTGGGAGGAAAACGTTGTGTCAATAATAGTAATTTACACATTTCAAATACAAATTCCGGTGTTCTTTTTTTTCACTAAGAAGTTTATCTTCCCATATAACTGACACCTGTATTTGTTATTGAGATGCTTTTTTCTGCGTATCCTCAAGTTTCTCGCTCTCTAATGCTTTTTCAAGTACTTTATTAAATACATTTCAGAGTAATTGGCTCTCTTGCTGCCATCTCTGAAAACATTTGCATTGTAAACAATAAGTGGCTGCTTGATTGCATTCAGCCTTGAGTTTAACACAGTTCCACACTGCAGCAAAATACTTTTTATGTTACTTTGAATAACTTAATCAGAGGTTAATGGGAGCAAATACAATAAGATTCAGATTTGATTCAGATTTGAGTCTCGCTGCATATCAAATTAGTGTTCAAAACCAAAGGTTGTTATCAAAAACAATCAGTCAATTCAAATATAATCTAATTCAAGCAACATGAAATCAATAGGACTAATTTAGATAATATTTTGGGAATTATCCTTTGAGTGGTTGTGCAGACAATGTTCATGGTCTCTCAGACTGATCATTTAGTGCTTATTATGAAACAAAATCATTCGAAAAATATTACTTTTTAATTCATATCTCCATGTGTTGGAGAACTGAAAAGAGGTACCCATCAATAAATATAAAGTGTATTCGTTTCACTAAAGTTAGTAGTTGGAATTACTGTATATCCGCCAACTTATTTTTCATTTTACTGTCTGTCCCCACAGGTTGCCAATCTCCTCAGGCTGTTTCAGATTCCTCAGATAAGCTATGCTTCGACCAGTGCCAAGCTCAGCGATAAGACTCGCTACGATTACTTTGCCCGCACGGTGCCCCCCGACTTCTACCAGGCCAAAGCCATGGCCGAGATCCTTCGCTTCTTCAACTGGACGTACGTGTCCACTGTGGCATCCGAGGGTGATTACGGTGAAACTGGCATAGAGGCCTTTGAACAAGAGGCACGCATGAGGAACATTTGTATCGCCACTTCAGAGAAGGTAAGGCATGTGATGGATTATAATAGAGTATGAGTTTATGTTTGCATAGATATATACGAAACCATTGATCAAAGAGAGATACCAAAAACCCCAAACTGTAATCAGCAGTGTCACACTGATGTATGGCCTGAAGCTGCACAACTAACAATGAATGGGGCACTAAATGTGTGAGCTTATAAAAGTTGGTCTCCTTGTCTTATCTTGTTTTACACACAAATGGAGTTTATGTTACACTGGTGTTATCAGTTGTGAACCAGAAAATGAAAGCAGTCACATTTTTCATCTCATTTGCTACGGCGGTGCATTATGGTTTAAGAAAGAAGGAAGTACAGACTTTTTTTTGCTTGTTTCTTCCTATGTATAATGTTGATTAAAAAATCACAATTCAGATATGACTTTTAATCTTATTTAGGAGTAAAATGAGTATTTACATAACAATGTCTGCAAACTAATGTCCGATGTCTGTCCAGGTGGGGCGTTCTAACGCCAAGAAGTCCTATGAAGCTGTGATCCGACAGCTCCTCCAGAAGCCAAATGCCCGTGTTGCCGTCCTCTTCCTGCGCAGTGACGATGCCAGAGAGCTGCTGGCAGCGGCTGCCAGGCTCAACACCTCCTTCATCTGGGTAGCCAGCGATGGCTGGGGTGCCCAGGAAAGCATTGTCAAGGGAAATGAGGTCACTGCTGAAGGAGCCATCACACTTGAACTGGCAGCCAATCCCTTGCCAGAATTCAACCGCTACTTTCTCAGCCTGGACCCTGTCAAAAACCTTCGTAATCCCTGGTACAGGGAATTCTGGGAGCAGCGGTTCCAGTGCTCCTTGGGTGGTGGAGCAGCAGGAGGGGGAAGTGTTGGACTGGGAGGGACATCTCTCCCGCCGTGCGACATGGACTTGTCAATGGACAAGAGTAACTTTGAGCCAGAGTCCAAGATCATGTTTGTTGTGAACGCTGTTTACGCCATGGCTCATGCCCTCCATCAAATGCAACGGAGCCTCTGCTCGAACACCAACGAGCTGTGCGACAGCATGAAGGCACTTGATGGGCGCAGACTCTACAGGGATTACATCCTGAATGTCAGCTTCACAGGTAAGAGGGCTGGAGAATGGCCAAGAGAGTCACAGATAAGGTGTTCAAGGTAGACGGAGAGTGAAAAGAAGTGGATGTTTGAGAGGATGCTGGGGAGGGAATGGGAAGATAGCAAGAAACAGACAGGAATGTGAGAGCTGTGCCTAGTTAAAAGTCCTCTCATGCACAACACAAGTATGTTGTCCTCAGCCAAAGCAGCAAACCCCAGAACATAAACAGTACTGAGACAAATCCGCTTAATTGCTAAGTATTGTCAGAGCCAGCCATGCCATTGACACCTATTACCCATGCGTAATTGATACGACACTACAAAGTTGCTTTGAGGAATGAGAGCTGCAGTTAATCCGTCAGCCATATTCTTCTCTCTTGAACTAATGAGATTGGGTGTGTTATAATAGCCCCTATAGCAGGCTGCTTGTCTGTCTGTCAGTCTCAGTAGGGTTGGGAGAGAAGAGACAGAGGATTGGCTTGAGTGACAGTTGGTGTACAAAGGATGCGTTATAAATAAACTGCTGTGTCTCGGGGACTGACACAGGTTTAGAGGTACTTATTCCTCCACCAAGCGTGACCAGGAGCAGACATCAAAACAGCCTAACAAACAGCGCTAACACGGCAGCTTTGCCACTAGAAGCTAGGGAGAGAGCAGGAGGGATGGGTGGAAGACGAAAGAATGGTATCACATATGGAGGGAGGGGGGAAGGAAGCTTACAGATAAGACTGACAGGCAGAGTCAAATGAGAAAAGAGAGTTTGGGGTAAGGTAAAAGGGAGTAAGATAAGCAAGGAAGGAGGGAAGGGAGAACTGAGGCAATGCCGGAGTGGGACAGGGTGCGTCAGCAGAAGAAGAGAAGATTCTCTTTGAAACTCCACATTTTCATTTCTGCTACAAATCTTGGACTTGGAGCATTTCTGCATTAGAGGAGGGAGATAGAAAGAAGGAAAGAGAGAGAAAGAGCATGAGTAAGGAAAGGAGGGAGATAGAGAGGAAATAGTCAAGACGATTGCAGTCGCAGCCTCCGGTAGGCACAGTTGATAACCACTCCCTTATAGAATGCATAAGAGAGGGGTGGAAGAGATAAGCAGATTCAAACATAGAAAGTTTAAAACGATGTGGAGTTGAAGAGGAGGTGTGAATCCCGCTGTGATTTTCCTACATCTCTATAGCTGATCATCTGTCTCCCTTACACCCCCCTTTCCCACTCCCCCTTTCCTTTTATTCACTACTGATTAGGTCCAGAAGGTGCATGTCCTTTTTTCTGCAAAGAAAGAAACAGCATGTTCAAGGATCATGATTTCTTCAGAGCTCAGTGTCAGTGTCAACGGTGACAGCATGGCAAACAGATTTGTCGTTTAAAAAACATGCATTCAAGGAATCTGCGTTGGTGAGAGGGTGAGGGTGTTGAAGATGGCGGTACGGTTAAACTGGGAACAGTGGCAGCATTCGCTCTGAGTTATTAGTTTAGCCCCCGAATGACGCACTCACACTGCTGTACATACAGTATACACCTTTCCATATACAGTATGTAAGTAAAGGAGCTGAGGTTAGTTGAGGTTGAATGTGGGTATAAATACTGCAGTAACACCATCCGCAGTGCTCTCAGTCTGAACTGTAGACAGAAAACCAACACTGTGCAGCGCTCTGGATCTCTTTGCCATCTCCTTCTCTCACACATACGTGCATGTTCATTATACACTTTCCACATTGCATCAAAGTTTGATCCATCTTAAATCTTATTGCTTCCCAATACACTGAATCACTTTCCCCTGTCAATAATTCTACAATCATAACACACCGGACTGTGTTTTAAACCTGTTTTTGTTGCGTGTTACCGACGGCGTATGTTGTGTGGCTAGGAATGTGTTTTCATATGCCGCTCTCTTCAGCCAGTCTCGACTTGCTAGTTGCTATGGTAATGAAGCCGACACTATTGCCAATTGTTGAAGGGATCTGGTAGATCATGGGAACTGCTCCCTACCATCTAGTAATAGACACAGGGGCACATTGGTGCATTTTTATGAGGCCTCCCTACACACATCCAACACAAAACACACATACGTACACGCAAGAGACGCATAGAGTCAGCTTTTTTATTTACAAAGAGGCAGCTTGAAATGCTTGTTTCTTTACCAGCATGAAATTGCAGACACCCCCAACCCACGCACTTCTCAAAGCCATCATTCAACTCCCACCCACCCAACTCCCCTATCTGCAGCAAACATATCAGTATATACACATGCACGCAGTCTTCTGTTCAAATAGTGGTGTTGGATGTGATATTCCCTCTTCTCTGCGCATGTGTGTGTGTGTGTGTGTGTGTGTGTGTGTGTGTGTGTGTGTGTGTGTGTGTGTGTGTGTGTGTGTGTGTGTGTGTCGTGTCGTGTCGTGTCGTGCGTGCGTG